GTGGTAGCTAGCCTAGAGGCTAGCTCAGTTCGATACTTACTTGCAACAGAAGTTGCAACCAGCTTGCTAACATCAATCTTTTGGTGGTGGTCACTTCGTTGGTCACTGAAAAGTAAGGCAAGATTGGCGCAGACCAAGGCATGGTCAGAGTCCAGATAGGTACTCCAAAAGGAGCGGCAGTCTTGTACACAACCACGCCAGCGGTAGCTGATCGCGATGTGATCAATCTGAGTCCAGGCTTGAGATGCAGAGGGAGGACGCCAGGTGGCACATCGGCGATGACTGTGCCGGAAGTTAGTGCTAGCCAGAAACAGGTTGTGGTCTGTGCACAGTTGCAGTAGACGGTCCCCGTTATCTGACCTGCGACCAACGAGTCCCCATCGGCCACCTAAACGACTCTCTTCTGTGCCTAGACGCCCGACCTGAGCATTCAAGTCTCCGGCTAGTACTACAATATCTGTCGAACGCACTTTCTGGAGAAGAACTGATAACTGATGGTAAAACTCATCCTTGATTGCATCCGGGCTGCAATCTGTCGGGGCATAGGCGGAGATGACGAAAAGACATCGTTTCTCACGCCGATTTCTTCTCACTTTGATGGAACTCTCTAATCTAACAGCACATAACCGACTGTTGATGGGGATTCAGTTGACTAGTGCTGCCTCAGCTCTAGCGCTCAGTGCGACACCAACGCCAGCAAGACCAGACGAAGATGCCACAGGGTCCCCGGATAAACGCACGTAAAACAAGCTTTTCGAAGCGACAGATGAAGAGCGAATTTGTAGTACTTCGCCAGGGTCTTGAATACGGGTCTCGGATAGACAACAAACATCAATATTAAGACTTTCCAAATACATAGCCAGCCCTATCTGTTGTCCGACTTGCATAAATGTGAGAACGTTGAAGGCAGCCAGTTTGAATGGTGCACGTGGTTTCAGAAAAACTGCTTCAGTCCTCGTATTCGGTGGTAACATACAATTTTCAACCGGACAGTGACTCGAGAACGTTTAGATACAGTCGAATTTCCACCAAAGACGAGCCGCTGTATAAGTATAAAAGAGGGTGAATAATGTGGTAGATAATAATAATAATAATAATAATAATAATAATAATAATAATAATAATAATAATAATAATAATAATAATAATAATAATAATAATAATAATAATAATAATAATAATAATAATGACAATAACAGTAGTAATAATAATATTAGTATTAATAATGACAATAATTGTAATGATAATAATCTGAATCAATTGTTTGTTTTTCAAAGCGAGAAAGGTAATTTCCATAGGCATAAAGAGCTCAGATAACCGCCTGTTCCTTGCAAATACCAACTTTAAACATAAGGAAAAACATCTTTTAACATGGAGAACCCCTAATTCGTCCTAACGTTGGACCCAAATAGATCACATCGCTATCAGCCACCGATGGAGGGGCTCGATAGAAGACTGTCGCTCACTCTGGAGCACATGCCTAGTTTCAGATCATGCTCTAGTACGAGCGCGTATCTGTCTGCGTCTTACTGGACGTAGGAAGGACGCTGCAAGAAAACCTCTTAGGGGCCTACTTAATGATAGTCAAGCTAAGAGTATATTTCAGGAACAACTAGGAAAACGGTTAGGCAGCCATGTAAGTGATGCCCACCCCGAGGCAGCATGGAATGATATCCGAAAAGCTGTGGAAACAGCAGTGATATCTGCTAGTAAGGTAAACCAGAAGGTTAGGGAGCAACACTGGATCTCAGCAGCATCTATCTCACTGATAGATGCTCGGAAACTCATTCCACCTGGCTCTGAACATAATAAAGACCGGAGTCAGCTTAAGCGCAAGCTGACCAGAAGCCTACGCAATGATCGCGAACAGTGGTGGGTGGCGAAAGCAAGAGAGATGGAAAAGGCAGCGGCAATAGGTAATAGCAGACAATTGTTCAGACTCGTTAAGGAAACCGGAATTAGGAACCCGACCGTTAGCGAAACAATCTCAGAGAAAGATGGACATATTATTCATTCTCAATCCAGGAGATTGGATCGATGGGCAGAACACTTTAGGGATCAGTTCAACTAGCCTTCAGCCACACTTCGGTTTCCCACGATCTCTAGTCAACCTGAATGGCAAGTTAATGTAGGTCCTCCATCTCTTTACGAAGTTGAAAAAGCCATAGGAAATCTGAAACGAGGGAGAGCAGCAGGCCCTGACAGGTTTACTCCTGAGATTTTTAAGGATGGTAGTCCAGTATTAGCAGTGAGATTAACTGAGGTCTTAGGTAGAATTTGGGAACTGGACACAATCCCATCTGACTGGTCTCAATTACTGATTGTGCCAGTCTATAAGAAAGGACAAAAGTCCTCTTGTGACAATAACAGAGGAATCAGTTTGACAAATATAGTGTCTAAAATATTAGCTTCAATAATACTTCGACGCCTAACCAAAGCTCGTGAAGAACAGACTAGAGAAAATCAGGCTGGTTTTCGACCTGGACGTGGTTGTATAGATCAGATATTCACACTACGTCAGGTTCTAAAACACAGACACACATTCAGACGTCCCACAATCGTAGTATTTCTCGACCTCAAGGTGGCATTTGACTCTGCTGATCGTGAGGTTCTGTTGCAGAGTTTGTCACTGAAAGGAGTACTAAAGATGTACACTAACCTTACACAGGCTCTCTACTCAAACACAACTGTCCGAGTGAGAGCTTATGGTGAACTATCATCAGAATTGATTACCTCAAGTGGTGTTCGTCAGGGCTGTCCACCTCTCCATTCTTGTTCAACTTTGTCGTCGACGTACTTCTAGAGATAACACTTTCCTCGTCTAAATTTCCAGGGGTTGAACTTCTACCGGGAGGTTCACTTGTTGACTTAGAATATGCTGATGACATAGTTTTATTTGGTGAAGACGCTGACAAAATGCAGAGTCTTCTGACCACTCTAAGCAACAATGCAAGCATGTTCGGGATGAGATTCTCTCCCTCGAAATGCAAAATGTTGCTTCAGGATTGGGTTGCATCGACACCCGAACTAATGATAGGGAGTGAAGTAATTGACCGTGTCGATCGCTTCGGTTATCTTAGAATTCTCATCAGCCCTTGTGGTCTGGTGTGTGACGAAATCTCAACACGGATACAGAAGGCTCGACTAGCTTTTGCCAACTTGCGTCACTTACGGGGTAGACGAGATATCCGTCTACCAACCAAAGGACGAGTTTACTGCGCAGCAGTTCGTTCCGTCCTAATTTATGGCAGTGAAACATGGCCGGTAAGAGTAGAGGATATTCATAGGCTACTAGTATTTGATCATAGGTGTCTTCGAAACATTGCTCGTATATCATGGGACCATCGAGTAAGTAACACAGTTGTTAGGAAACGGGTACTAGGTGAGGATGGTAAATCAATTAATGAAGTAGTGAAACTTCATCAGTTGAGATGGCTGGGACACGTGTTACGTATGCCCAACCACCGACTACCTCGACGTGCTATGTTCAGTGGTATAGGAGTAGGTTGGAAGAAAGCTAGGGGCGGCCAAACCAAAGTCCATGAAGTCACTGACAAGTGAACTGAGTCATGTTGGTAGGTGTAGACTACCTGGTTGGGGACCACGAGATGATGGCAACCGATGGTTAGAGACCCTGAATGACATGGCTCAAAATCGTTTGCAATGGCGCAGGTGCATCCACTCTCTGTGTTCTCTCAAATTCTAATCTTCTGAATTCTTCATGTCCCTTTTTTCCTCTTTCCAAATTTATTTCACTGGATTATACTCTTTAAATAACATCTCCAAACCTTAATCTTCCCGATTACTGCTTATACTCTTATTACCTCTACCACTATGGGATTTGAATCGACAACTGCATCTCTGTGCTAATGTGGTGTGGCAACTCGAACTGATGTACGTACGTACGAAGTTCTACGTTGTTACTGACTGACTGACTGACTATGTCTCATCATATTGCAACCTTTCCAAAGGTTTATAAACTTCAATGAATAACCATTATTCACCAATGTTTCCGTTAAGAGCTTCGTGTCTCCTTCAATACTATCACTAGTACAAATATGACTGATCCTATGAATAAGCCCTTTATTAATCCATTTTTGTAATGAATTGGACAACGAATGCGGGAATTAAGATTTTGCCCTGTTCATGTCGGTTTTATATATACAGAACGTTTGATGGGACCATCGTTTCTCCTACTAATCAGAATGTCTAGAAAAAGGGGGCTTTAGTTGTCTGTTTCAGTCTTAAATAAACATTTACCGATTAATTTAAGTAATACTTCCTATTAGATAAATAATGCATAACAGTGAGCATTCTCTCCGATGGATAATTTTAAGCATAAACTCAGTGTTATGCATGGAAATATATAATTAAATGTAAGCAAAATGGGAATTTTCACTTTGGAAAGAAATAACCAAATATATTATAATAAGGTGTGTATTAGCTTGGTTAAATAACTGTTATAATATCTCGTGTAACAACCAATCTACTCTTATTGCTTAGTATTCTGTAGACACTTTACTTCACTTGACAAGTCTCCAAATCAGAACACGGTTGAACAGGGACGTAATTATATCCCAAATAGACAAGGTCGAGTGGGGGGTACGAACCACAATAAGAAGAACGTTAGTATATTTACAATTTTACACAAGATTCTAGTCTTCTTCAAGTATCCGCCAGAGCTGACTGGGTAGGAAATAACCAATCAGTGTACTCCAACGCAATCGTGCAAGGAATATGCTTTAATCAAATTTATATCCCGTTAACAATAACATTGTCTACTTCACTTGTAAAAATTAATATACCACTGAAAACAACGTCCTGGTACAACGCGTTTCGGTTAGCTTCTTTTTTACTGGTTCATAACGAATTTGTATGGATCATGAAAGGCAACTTAATATAAAAGTTTACAACTAGATATCGGACGATTAATATCATAAGCAAACCAATTTCATAAAAATAACATCAACCAATATTAAGTTAAGATAATTAACACATACCTGAAGATAATGCTTATAAGTATACCGACCTGTAACGATGTAGGTTTGACCTATATTAGGTGCTTGTTTAACGGCTTCATGAGGACACACAAGAAGTTCAGAGGACGGACCAAGCCAAGTGACTATTCTAGGTACTGGATGTAAAGCCTGACCTCGTCGGACGAGTGGAGTATCCAGTGGAAGACTGAATTCTTGAAAAACACGAATGAGTAGGGTGTAAATAACTCTCGTTTTACACTAATTAAATAACATATCTGACGTCACGTGATGTACAAATGATTAGACTAAAACACAAAAATCCAGTTAATTAACTCGCCTTATGTAACAAAACAACATTAAGATAACTTCTTAATATTCGAAATGTATTTATGACGAATTATCCTAACCAAAAATGAAAAATTATGGATTATTTTTGTAAAATGTACACCGATCCATCACGATTGAATAAATATAGGAATCAAGTAGTATTACTCATAAATAACAATGAGCGGCTTTTATCGTATGAAGACTGACGATACCATATGGCTGATAAGAATATATAAGGGAAGACTCACATGATTTAACTGATAAACAGAAATGGCCACTAGGTACAGACGTGTGACCGCAGTAAGGTGTTTCCCTCAGACAAGCAGCCTAACAGCGATGCTGTCTTCCCACAAGAAAGGATGGGATTAGAAAAGGTCGACCCTAAAAATGCACATCTTGCCTTATCCAACGGATTTCCGTCTCCGGCGGTAAGATCCAAACAAGTATGGAGCTAACACGAAAACTACTCACAAAAAGGTCGTGTGTGACCGACCTCAAGCAGTTGTCCCTTGGGCACTGCGATCACGCTCTTGTGTCACTAAGACCGACTCTAAGCCAATTCCCTTTTCAGGTACCTTTAGAAGAACCCTTCACCAGTGTGAGCATTTATTATTTATTTATTTGAACACATAAACGTTGGTACAAGAAGGCACCAAATACATATGCGCCACATAAATCATTCGATCTGCGTAAGGGATGTGATACTGCCCGGGTGCCCCGAGTCTTCGACCCTAAGGTCTGACCCACAAGGCAGTGTAGCATCGTAAGGAGATGCAGTCCCATGGTAGCCGGCGACCAATGGTTGGTCCCTACACCATTTGTTCCCGCAGGATACTGGAGCCCATGTGCATCATTGGTTTGGAATACTGTTAAAGCGCCGGACATTCGTTTTTCGTCATCAATTTCGCAAACAACACCCCCGACACGAGAAAGCAGTGAATAGGACTTCCCCGGCAGAGGCTATATACGCGTGGCCGTGTGAGAGCATTTATAGAAAGAGGGCGGTCGCATCCCACTCTCGGCCATACCAGGGCATTTGGGGGCAACCGCAAAGTGATGATTACCCTCATACCTCTAACAGCGCTCAAGATCACTGTATTAGTAATCAATCCTCCTCTTCAATTCCTATTATTCATCTTACATCGACTTCCAACTCGAAACTTCCGCTTTTGGCTTCCTCTTCATGTGTCACCATAGCCAACGACTCTAGTACGCAAAACACTGTCCCAGGTCTACTGGAACCTCGCTCCAAACTACACATTGGAGCCTTCAAAGTACACGCACTATGTCAAATCGGTCAGCAGGCCTCCTTGGCTAAAACTCTAGAATCCCGTACCATTGATGTATGCTGTGTCGCCGGAACACGCATACAGGATCCTAGTGTGGTCATTCACCTGGCCTCCCCTCGTCAAAACGGAGAGCCGACGATATACACCCTCCATGCATATGGCGACCCGATGGCTAGTTCTCGTCGACTGGCAGGTGTAGGCATAGCACTAAGTACGAGGACAGAACAAGCACTATTAGAGTGGATCCCCGTTAACAGCCGTCTATATACTGTTCGGCTAAACGGCTCCGTAAGAACTCGGAAGGATAGGGACACACGTCGTTGCCTTTTTATTGTTTCTGCCTACGCTCCCACTGACTGCAGCCGTGATGAAGTGAAAGATGAAGTTTACAGAAAGCTTTATGAACTTCTTCATTAAGCTAAACACCCACACATAGTATTCGTAGCAGGTGACTTTAATGCCCAAGTAGGTAGCTTAAATCAAACAGAAAGACACTTAGGTGGGTACTTTAGTATTCCGGCTCAGCGAACAGATAATGATGATGGTCTGCTGCAACTGTGCTCAGACAATCGTTTATTTTTAGCAGGCACTAATTTTAAGCATAAGGAGAAACATAGTCTAACATGGCGACCGCCTGCACCAAACCAACGATGGACTCAAATAGACCATATTGCTATCAGTCGTCGTTGGAGAGGGTCGATAGAGGACTATTACTCGTTCTGGAATACCTGCTTGGACTCCAACCATGCTCTAATACGGGCGCGCAACTGCTTGCGCCTCACTGGACGCAGAAAAGACACATTAAGAAGACCTATTGGAGTTGAACTCAACGATTAGAAGGTCAAAGGTACATTTCAGGAACAACTGAATTCACACTTGGGCAATTTCGAAACCGAGGCTGACCCAGATGTTGCTTGGAAAGATATACAAACAGCAGTGACATCTGTTAGTGATTTAAACCAAAGAGCTACAAAAAATCAATGGATTTCTTCAAGGTCTATTGCACTGATGGATTCTCGTAAACTCATCCCATCAGGCTCAGAACACGATGATGAGCGAAAGTGAATCAGATCTAGGTTAACCAAAAGTCTAAGGAACGACTGTGAACAGTGGTCGGCAACGAAAGCAAAAGAGGTGGAAAATACGGTGGCTATAGGTAACACAAGACACCTCCTCAGACTCGTGAAAGAAACTGGAACTAAAAAGTCAAGTGTAAGTGAGACTATCTCACAAAAAGACGACACTCGTATCTGCTCCCAGTCCAGACGTTTAGAACGATGGGCAGAACACTTTAAGGAGCGGAGTAGCTGGCCTTCAGCTACTCCACAGTTACCCACCATTCAAAAACAGCGTGAATGAAACACTGAAGCAGGCCCTCTGACTCTCGTTCAAGTTCAAAAAGCCATAGATAATCTCAAACGAGGAAGAGCAGATGGATTGGCTCCAGAGGTCTTTAAGGATGGTGTTCCAACTATAGCGATTAGGTTGACTAATATTTTAGCTAAAACTGGGAGTTGGACGTAATCCCATCCCATTATATAAGAAGGGGTCAAAATCATTCTGTGATAACCATAGAGGGATTAGTTTGACTAATATAGCATCTAAGATACTAGCTTTAATAATTATCGGGCGGTTAACAAAGACTCGTGAACTGCAAACACGATAAAATCAGGCTGGCTTCTGACCTGGTCATGGCTGCATCGACCACATATTCACCATTCCTCAGGTTCTAGAACATAGACATGCTTACCGGCATCCGACAGCGATAGTTTTTCATGACTTGAAAGCAGCATTTGACTCTGTTGACCGAGAGGTTCTGTGGTAGTGACTCTCGTTGCAAAGTGTACCTCAGAAATACATAAGCCTCGTGAAGGCTCTTGGCTCGAACACTAGTCGTCGAGTCAGAGCTTATGGCGAACTGTCATCTGATTTAGCAGCCTCAAGTGGTGTTTGACAAGGCTGTCCACTATCTCCATTTTTGTTCGATTTCATCATAGACCTACTGCTGGAAGTAACGCTTTCGTCATTTGAATTTTCAGGAATTGATCTCCTTCTAGGAGGTCCACTTATCGAACTAGAATACACAGATGACACATTCCCGTTTGGTGAAGACGCTGATAAAATGCAGAGCCATTTGGTCGCACTGAGCAACAATGCCAGAATGTTTGGAATGCATTTCTACCCCTCTAAATACAAGTTGTTGCTCCACGACTCACCTTCGTCAACACCTGAACTAAGGATAGGGAGTGAAGTAGTCGAATACCTTGACAACTTCACTTATCTTGGGAGTCTGATCAACCTTAATGGGTTGGTGTCTGATGACATCTCTGCACGGATTCAGAAAGCTCGTTTAGCTTTTGCCAACTTACGTCACCTATGGCGAAGGCAAGATTTTCGTCTATCAATTAAGAGACGAATATACTGCGCGGCAGTTCGTTCTGTCTTACTTTACGGCTGCGAAGCATGGCCATTAAGAGTAGAAGACATTCGTAATCTACTAGCACTTGATCACAGACATCTTCGAAATATTGCTCGCATCTGTCGGGATCACCGGGTAAGTAATAGTGAGGTTAGACGCAGGGTATTAAGGAATGATGGTAAATCAGTTGATGAGGTTGTGAATCCTCATCGACTGAGATAGTTGGGCCACGTGTTACGCATGCCTGAACACCGATTACCACGACGCACAATGCTGACTAGTGTTGGAAACGGATGGAATAAAGTTAGGGGCAGCCAAACTAAAACGTGGCATCAGTCCTTGAAGTCACTAACTTCTTGTCGTAGCCATGTTGGTAGATGCAGACTACTTGGTTGGGGTCCGTGTGACTATCGTAACCAGTGGTTGGAGACTCTGGGTGACATGGCTCATAATCGATCACAATAGTGTTGGTGTACACACTCTTTGTCTTCCCCTAAACTATGAGATTAAAATCGCTTCATATCTTTCTTTCTACAAACTAATTCTCTCCTTCTGTACTATATTCTTACATAAAACCTTTCTTTTATATATTATTACCATCGAATTAACTGCTTTTATGAATCCGGTGTTCGTCTTGCCGTGCTAATGAGGTATGGCAACTTGGACCGATGCATATATGTGCCTCGTCCTACGTTGTAACTGACCTAATTGTCGTTTATTTATCTAAATATAGTGATCATTGGTAATATGACTTCCTAGGTCACAAAGTGATATAAAAATACTGTAGATAGAAAACTGATATAAAGATACCCAGTATTTCAGACGCATACTGTTGTTGTAGCTCTTTGACTCGACTCCGATATGGATGAATGTATGAAAATGCTACCAACATAAATCTTCCATTTAACTCCGTATACTAAATAGGCTAACCCCGTTGGTGTGACGGTGATAAAAAAAGTTAAGTATGGGTTTCGTCTGAGGAATTTACTTCAAGCACTCGTTCATCGAGACACAAATTCAAAATAAGGAGTGAAGAGTAGAGCCAACTAGATCTGATTAAGCATGACTCGATATTTATAGTCAGACAAAAATAAATTACAGATACGTAATGAATAAAGTGAGCAATTACCTCACACGCCCACATAAAAACAATCAAGGTTAGTAAGCGAATAATTAACAAGGTCAGGATTTGACTTGAGAAGGATGAATAAACTAGTCTATCCCGAAGCTAGAATAACCCACGTGGGCTTGACATAGCACTAGACACTACACTATGAATAATGTAGTACAAGTGTCTACATTCAAGAGTCCTTACTATTTGAAAACTTCAGACTAATAAAGATAAATGTTATGATATCATATTATTAATCTAGAATTTTTAAGGTGCCTGAAACATGATAACTTTTTAATAAGACTGTTTGTTTAGCGCCACACAGATCTTTGTAGCAAGAAAGTGAAGCATTTGTGTTTAGGTTTATAAAATTGCAATTACTGAGGAAAAACGAAAAGATATTGAGGTTATAAAACGTACTTTCATGAATGATCTTCCGCCAAATTTCTTCACGTGTTTCTTCGATCCTCCACGGGAGACGTATACTGTACATAGAAGACCGAACTACGTAATGGTAAGATAATAATGTTTTTGGAGGAAACTTTACTTCCCTCCAAAGAAACAGAAGAGCGCGATGGTAGCTGTCCAAAAATGAAGATAATTTTGTACACAGAGCTCTGTGCATTAATTCATTGTTGTTGAAATTGCAAATCAAATCTATCGGTATACGATGGGAGTAGCCAAATGAATGATGAGAAATCTGTAGAGTTGGAGTGTGATCACAAGTGTTATTATCAAGACTGAAAAATACTATGAGTGCTGCCAAATTTATGTTGTCTTTTAGCTTCCTAAAGGAGTCAATCATTTTAGAGGAATGCTCTTTGGTCGAATTCGCCGATAAGCAAACAGAATCATGAACAAAAACAGCCGAAGTAAGCAAGATTTTCAGTTTTAGAAAGCATAAAGATAAAGATTCCTCTGTAGAAAACCTTATGCATATCGGTTTCTGACTGAATATTCTAAGCAGTATATGTTCTGAACTACCAGATAGTTCACCAACAGACTCACACAACTCCATATGTTCCAGAATGGAGAATATGAAACTATTCACCCGTTAAATTCCGATTGCATTGTCGCCGTTAAAACTTCATACTTCCAACAGAAAACAAAATAAAGTAAACTGGTTCTAATTTATTGCACTCTGAAGAAATAATATGTGCTTAGATTTAACCTGCAGTAGAGAAAGCACATCAGCGTACTCAACCAAAGTTCAAATTAAATGTATACTTATTGCCAATACTAAAATACGATATTAACAAATCACCTGAACTTTCGAGTTGATAATGGAATGACTTGGAAGTTAGTCAGGTTTCATAAATGCTAGTTGGAACCGTGGTTGTTTGACGCTTTGTTTTTCGAAACTTTCCACTTGATACCACATACTGCTGAGCCCCAAAATGCCCTGGTATGGCCGAGGGTGGGGAGATTCAGCTCTTCCTCTCGAAATGCTCTCACATGGCCACATACATACAACCACTGCCAGGGAAGTCCTACTCACAGCCTTCTCGCGGCGGGGGTATTGTTTACGAAATTGAGAGGACGAAAAGCGAATATCCGACGTTTTAACCGGGTTGGCAGACACGGAGAGTTCACATAGGGGAGTTGAAAAACCCTCATTCCAAACCAACGGTGTACATGGGCTCAAGGATCCTGAAGGAAAAAAATGGCGTAGGAACCTAATGTTGGTCACCGACTACAATGGGACTGCATCTCCTGACGTTGCTCCACTGCCTTGTGGATCAGACCTTTAGGTCGAAGGTTCGGGGTGTGGCCCCCTAAGAAAACCACCTGCTTCGGTTTGGGCACCTGGGCAGTATCCCAGTCCTCACACAAATCGAATGATTTATGTGACGCATATCTATTTGGTGCCTCCTTGTACCAATGTTCATGTGTTTAAATAACTAAATATATAAACATACTGTTGTAAAATTAAACCACTTAAAATATGAAAAGTTTATAAGTAATAATTATTACGAGAGAACATCATGACACAGAATGGGGTTGCATAGAGATGCTTATTAAATTAATTAAGGCCTACACTAACTAGTGTTCGTACTAGGTGTTAAGTTGAGCATCCATTCACATAAAAACACCTTTTAAAACAAGGGAAATGAATACCAAGATAATGAAGTGAAGAGATAATTAGGGGAATACATGGAACCATGAGACACTTATGTAGAGTACGCCAAAACAAATATGATTAAAATGTTGTCAAACTTATAGGGGAAACCTATAAAGATGAGATTCGAGGACCTAGGAGACGATTCTTACAGTCCACATAAAGAGATACTGTAGGAAAATAATTATTTGTCATCACCAACATATTACCAGAATGAGTGGAACCCATTTTGTCCAAGCTCGACAGGAAAGAATAGATTTGGGCGAGATGCTTCTGTATTTCGGTCACGAAGAAAATGTTCCACACAATCTGAAAGTTACTCTGATGCTGTTTACAGAAGCACTTAAAACACTTATAGGATAGGAATCTCATGGACTCAGAAACATTAAAGCATCTTCCAAAACAATGGGGGGAATCACAAGGAATGTTATCCAGTGTTATGCACCAACCAATGACAACAACGACGATAAAGATCAGATTTAGGAGAGGCTGCAATCAATTGTAGCGAAGTGCTCAAGAAAAAACCTGACCATCCTGATGGTAGACTTAAACGTCCAAGTCGGGATGGACAACATCAGGTATGAAAATATCATGGGACGAAATGGACTGGGGGAAGGGAACGAAAATGGTGACAGACTTGCGATCTTACGTGCATCCAACAAAATGGTTATAGGCGACACAAAATCACCCCACAAACACATACACAAAACTACATAAATCTCACCGGATCACACTACCCGGAACCAGATCGATTATGTATGCATAACTAAAAAATTCAGGTCAATGACATACTGACAAACTCAACAAACTCACAACAGCTCTCAGCAAAAGGTTCCAAGCCATACAAGACCTACTGAAAACAAGAAACTGCGATGAAGGACAACTGGTAAGGAATCAAAGGAGCACTAACTTCAACGTGTCAGGAAGTACTGGGCCGCAAGAAGCATCATCATAAGAAATGGTCTCCATCGAAACCCTTAGTAGCACTCGGGAAAAGAATGAAATGAAGATAGCAGTTGACAACAGCCAAACAAGAACAAAGAAATCCAAGGCACAGGCCGAACACAGAAGTAAACAAACGAATGAAGAAGAGCATTGGAGGCGACAAGTAGAAATATGTGGAGGACCTAACAACGACAGGAGAAAAAGCTGCAACAGAAGGATATATCAGACAACTATATGAGGAAAGCACCCAACTACATCACAAGGCAAGCCCTCACATGTAATCCTCAAATCCAAAGGAGAGAGGAAGATCAAACAACAATTTACGCCAAGAAACGGAGACAGGCATGAGAAAAATGAACAACAATTGGATAGAACTAGAAAGGAAGACCCAGGACAGAGTGTGTTAGAGAATATTGGTCGGCGACTTATGCTCCGTTGGGAGTAACAGGCGTAAGTAAGTAAGATCAGTCAAGGAAAACGAAGGCAAGACAATCACTGGGATTCCAGAACAGATGGGTAGAACACTTTTAAAAACTCTTGAATAGACCAGCTCCATTGAACCCACCGGACATCGAAGCAGCACACACAGATCTTCTCATAGATGTCACTCCACCAACGATGGAAGAAATCAGGATGGCCATCAGACAAATGAAGAGTGGGAAAGCAGCAGGACCTGACGATATACCAGCTGAAGCAACGAAGTCAGATATAGAAGTAGCTGCAAGTATGCTTCACGTTTCATTCAGGAAGATGTGGGAGGATGAACAAATGCCGACAGACTGGAAAGGCGGACATCTCATCAAGATTCCAAACAAAAGAGCTCTGAGCAAATGTGAGAACTACAGAAGAACCACACTACTATCGGTACCAGGAGAAGTTTTCAACGGTGTTGTTGAACCGAGTGAAGGATTCAGTAGACGTCCAGCTTCGAGATCAATAGGCTAGATTCCTTAAGGATCGGTCGCATACAGACAAAATCGCAACACTAGGGATTATCGTTGAACAATCAAATGAATGGAACTCGTCACTATACATCAACTTCCTTCATTATGAGAAGGCATTTGACAGTGTGGATGGGAGAACATTATGAGACCTTCTTCGACACTATGGAGTACCTGGGAAAATCGTCAACATCGTCAGGAATTCATACGACAGACTACACTGCAAATTCGAGCATAGAGAACAGCTGACAGATGAACTCCAAACAAGGACTGGAATCAAACAAAACTGCTTACTAAGGTAATAAAAACTAACACGACTTTTACTTTTTGTCCAGTATCAGATCATCCCAATCTCCCTATTAATGGGTTTTCTCCATAGTCGTGAAAAGTTTGGTAGTCTTCCCCAAAGTTGGGGGAAAATTAGGGCAAAAACCCGTGTAATAGGGTTCTGAAAAAAATATTGGGGAAACCACAAACCTTCCGCTGGAAATTTGAGGATTTTCGGGGGAAACTTTGTGCCGTTTACTTGAAGTTTTCTGTTGCGGTTTCCCCAATATAGGGAGATTGGGATTAGTGGATTGGCGAGGTTACAACTTATACGCGACTCTTGATCAACTTAAACTAACTTCGAGAGTCCCTTTCTGCTTACTAAAGTTGAATGAAGGTTTTAAACTGATGTTAGGAACTGGAATTAAAGTAGGTAGTTGTACGTTAAGGTTAGACATTAGATCTAGGGTTATTATCATGTACTGATATAAGCTACTCTGTCAGAATGCAGTGAATGCTTATGAATAAATGCGTTTACTGTCCAAATACATGACGTCCAAAATCTGATTATTTTAACTACAATTAATAGTAATGTAAGCACGTCGGAATCTGTACCGCAAGCCTTTAAAAAGCAGATGGTTCAAAGGTTCAAATGGTTGTGGATAGAATAGAAGAAGCTTTCGCTTAACAGGCTTCCGTGTCTAGTGGCAGGGGATCTCCAACTCCTCCAGGCAGGAACCTAGGTATGTTAACAAGAAAACAGGAAAAGAAAACAGTAAATCATAGTGCGATACTATCCTTAGTCCTTAAGAATAGATAAGTTGCCCCTTAAAAGACTCCTGGGAAGTCTCTTGGACTAGTTCAGTCGGCATCGAATTCCAGCATTTGACAACTCTTAAGTAATAGGAGTTGTGTCTACAGTCCGTTTTGCTATGTTGTATCTCCGATTTCTAGGTTTGTATTGGGACTAAGCTTAAATAGGTGTTTAAGGGGATATCCAGAAGTGTTAAGGATACTGTAAGCCATCAGAAGGTCACCTCTAAGATGCCTATACTGTGATTGGTAAAGGTTAAGTGATTGGAGGCGTTCTTCACAAGCTTCGAATTTGAGTCCTCGCCGTTGGATACGTTCAAGTGTCCTTATCCTTTTGCAGTGAGGGAAGAAATACTTTGTTTCCGTACTGCAAATGGGGACGAATAAAACTGTTGAAGATTGTGTGGAGATTTCTTCCGTCAAGCTGGCCAAAAATGCGCTTCAATGTTACCAGCGCAAGGTTTGCTCGGAAGGCATTTTTGTCACAGTTAGCGTAAGAGTTTAGATCGTAAGGCACCAGGACTCCTAAATCTTTTACGACTTGGGATATTATTAGAGAGAAGTTTCTAAATTTGAAACTGTAGCATGCGACATGTCGCAGATGGACTTATTTACACTTTGAAGTGTTAAAAGTAAGTCCGTTCTCGTCTGCCCAAATTTGAAGTCGAGTCAGATCTTCCTGAAGTGTCTGCATATCGTCTTGGTTGAGTATCTCTCTCTCCAAAGTTTCACGTCGTGGGCATAAAGTAATAAGTATGACGATACCTGTTGTGGAAGATCATTTATATTAATCAAGAAAAGAAGAGGTCCTAGAACTCAGCCCTGGGAGACCCCACTGGGACGTTCCATAGCCTGAGATAAAATGAAGCTAACGCTGACCTTAAAATGTCGATTTTTCAGATATGAAATGAACCAATCAATTAGAGGTGGTGTGATACCAAATCGTTTGAGCTTACTGATAAGACATACATGGTTAACCCTAACAAAAGCTTTTGAGAAATCAAGGTAAACGATATCAACCTTCCCCTTACGATCGACGATGCTTGTCCATCTGTCCACCGCAGTCAGCAGGTTGGTTATACAAGAGTAATCCTTCCTGAAATCATGATGTTGTGGTGAGAAGAAATTTAAAGACAGTAAATAGTCATGTTTACCATCGCATATCAGGGACTCCATGATTTTTGAAGGTATAGAGAGAAGAGCCACCGGTCAGTACCTTGAAGACTCACTGCGTCGAACTCCTTTGAAAATTGGTGTGATGTGAACCAGCTTCCAATTTTCCTCGGCTTAGGGAGTGTGAGAACATCACACTAAGCGGCGTTGCCAGGACTGAGGCTGCTTCCTTCAGTATAGCAGAATGAACCATATCTGGACCCGGAGAAATGCTTTTCTTAGGTGCTGCAGTATCCGGAACACCAAGTCAGCGCTAAGATTCACTGCGGGAAGCCCTGTGCAGTTGCGGATGAAGCTGTCACCAGTATAGTTGATGTGGGTCGATTGAAATACTCGAGGGTATTGTTCAGCCAAAAGGCTAGCGGCGTCGCCGTCGTAATTAGTCGGGTCAATTAACGAAATCTTTTTGACGAGCTCTCATGAATTTTGTTGGGCATGTTAGTTCCACAGAACTCATTTGAGAATGGACCTAATTTTGAAATTTTATTCAGAAAATTTGAATTTCTTTGATTTGGCGCCAAAAACGCCCTTGTCAACTTCACGTCGTATTTCCCACTGGGAAATATCTTAAATGCTACTGGTCCTTTGCGTCTTTTAGTATGCTATTTCGTAACTCTCCACAAGTACGGTTTTGTATTATATATATACGTTTTGAATTGTTTGTTGTTATCGCTCGTTTCTGACTGTTTGCAGAGTATACTTCCACATTACAACCTTGGACTTCTTCCTATAGTTTGCGAGGCTTGGACGCGTAAAATAGCCAGCTTACTTGTCTTTGGTCACCGAGTCTTTGTTCTTGTTCGCAGATTAAGTGAACTCGTGATAGCTTCAACCCCAGCAAATCCAAAAAATGTTTTTCTCCTGCTTTCTAGTGTCATATTTCAGTTCCATTCCCTTTTTCACTGAGAAGAATTTAACTCATCTTTACCAAACTCAATGAATTCGATAGTACATTTTGGTTTAGTGTTCCTTGAGTATGAATGAGTGCGTCCATACTAGAATTGTGGGGTTCACTCGACTTGCTAGACACTGCTGTCGAAGATTATGAACTACAGCAAAACACTTGAGGATAATGGATGGGTGGTGACGAAAATAAAAGTGAAAACAGATTGGCGAATGGCATTGATATTTGATAGTGGTGGCAGTAATTGAAAGTCACGAGACTAGCATCAGGTTCTGCTGTTCCTGAAGAAGGACGGTAAACTGCGGGCGCATGCGCGCTTGCTGTGCTTCCTCCGAAATCTGTGTGCACGTCGATTCGGATCACATTTCTAGTAAGTTGATCCTTATTGTAAACACGTGTTCTCACAGTGGCATTAGGATATTGTCAGCAATTCGTTAAGAGTAGCCTTGCGATATGTGTTGTGAAGTAGATTGTCTTGCATGATGAACATCATTATCATGTCGCTCTTTATTAATGTGCAACATTAATAGTTCAGTTCCAGGCGACGCATTCAATTGACAATTATTTCCTTTCTTAATTCAGTAAGCCTGCCTCCTTACTTGTTGTGAGAGATTTCCGTCCAATCATTATCACTCGTGTTATCCGTATTATGCCCCTCGTTATTATTTTTGAGGCCTCATTTCATTACATTGTGATAAGACTTTAGTTCTAAAAACTTTTGACTGTATTGTTCGTTATTTTTTACCATGGGAACCTTTAACAGTAATGTAGGAGCTTTAGTATCGAGGTATTTTATGTTTAATAAGAGGGATGTCTTACACTACAGAAAATGACAGTACTTCATAACTGAATAAACGGTTCTATTTTTCAACCATTTACCAGGCATATTAAGTAAATTCATTTTTAGGAGGTGTCAGCTCTTCCTATTGGGTTACTTTGAGTTTTTCGAGATTATTGGTCATTATTAAATGGTACAACGGACAATCGAGTAACCGTGTTATTGTGCAGTTTGGCTACTATCATTGACTCCAAGTAACTCAAAGAATATTCGTAACCGATATAAAAAGACGTACTGGTTTGTTTCAACAAAGTAGATGTTGGTTGAGTTGTGCCGTTGTCTGTACTAGCGTCGAAGTATTTGATTTTCAGTCGTTTCTCTTGTATTGTTAGAAAACGTGCATATCGAGAATTAAATTCACGGTTTTCCGTGCAACGTTACTCACTGTCTTCACTAAAAGTGAATCTTTTCAAGCACTATGTCTCTGCACATTAGTTGATTGTTAGACAGAATCATAGTGAGGAATTCAGCGATTTCAAGGTTAGTGACGGTTTAGCTGTATAGCACGCCATTTTGTGGCAGAGAAACTATTGGAATATTAGTTAGAATATAATTGCATAAATCACACTCAAACTTATGTTTCGATACGGTTGGCTATTATAGACTCAAAGAAGTCTCAGAACACTATATTGCATACTTATTCTCCCGCGTTTACCAGTGTTAGTAATTCACGTAATTGAACATATTTGAAGGTACTACTTTATTTTCTGTTAGATACGAGCTATTATGATGACATAAATCTAGAGTATACAAGAAATATCTTCAAACATAGGGGGAAATAAGTTAGTTCAAAGCAAACATTTGTGATTCACACAAACATTTCACTCGTAATCGTCGATTCAATCAAAGGCTTTAATTTTCCAACGAGCGATGCAAGGATTAGTTATGATATTCGACTTGCAGGATAACTCGTGGATCTTACATTTTCTTCAATGATTATGGACCTAAACACCTACACGAGCAGGCTTGCGTTTAGTTAAACCTGTTTTCACTTGACCGCAATCAACTGAGTTTCGTGTTCTACCTTCATTACGATATGATACACTAGTCTTTAAACGTCGCGACTTACTTCGAAGACCTCTCGAAACGGCATGTGGTGGACTCTTCAGAGTTCTTCAGTGTGAGCTTAAGTACTGTATACTCGATAAGAAGTGAACTAACGACTAATCCAGCGCTGATCTTCTTGTGTACGCCTATTCAGAAGGAAACCAAATCCATGTCGATTTTTATTCTGTACAATTGGGAGGCACGAGTCATGTAATTATCATACCTCATCTGATAATTGACAATCGCGATGACACTCGTTGACATCTGACGACTGACTCAAAACAATGCGTTCGGGAAGAAGAGTAAAGTTTCCACAACACCAAAGCGAATGCTTAAAGTAAGACACCACATAAGATTTTGTTTCAACTTGATTTTTTTGTACTTTGTCAAAGAACGAAACAAATCATTTTAAAATGCTCATATATATCACGACAGAGTACTCCGTGCCTCGCATATCCTATAACCGCTAGCAAGCTTAGATTAGTCGCTTTTCCTTATATCGGTAACCTATCAGATATATGTTTGATCGTCTTTGCTTGTGACTTCTGATTTGGCTGAGTTTGTATATCTCAACTATAAAAGTTGTTACTGGTTATGTCTTTGTCAAACTCCGTATACCCTAGTCATCATTAGACTTGCTGCTTGAATCATATTTTCTAAATACAGACTCTCAAAAGTTGGGTATAATAGACTAAACATTTTTTCGCTCAAATACTGAAATGGTTTACGAATAGCCTATAAGATCCTGGAGCCTTCGGCAGAGTCAGCCTTGCAGATGTAGAATTATGGTCTACTATGATATTAGTACTTCTCTAATGATAGACCTAATCCTAAAACTCCAGACTTG